GACGTTCGGTATCAGAGACTCTATACGTTAGCACGCATGTATGGCTTCCCAATACCATGAAAAGAGCGCGAGGAAAGAAAAACGACAGTAGATACCTACGGAGACCACACCTATCCGCCAGCCTATGACCGACATTCGCTCATCACTAAAAAGTGCCATACCCAGAAAAGCCCCTCCCATCATCATAGACCCTATTGCCTATCCAAAAAAAAAACCCCCCGCCCTCTTGTTCCAGCATGCTCTCCCTCCATTCCTACAGCCGCAGGATTTCTTGATTAACACGCCTGGAGGTAATTACTTGGCACCAGTCCTGGTCTCCCCTGTTTGCCCACCGCCTCCGCCTCCCACCAGCCATCATCTTGCAACCGCAAGACGGCAAGAATATCTCCTTTCTGAAAGCCGAGTTCCTCGGGTATCTGGGCGGTATAAGAGTACATGGCTCGTGCTATATAGACCGTTAGCTTTTGTTTTTGCCATGTTCAAGGGCAGTTCTCAGTCCTCCCTGCGCAAGGGAAAAAGGAGCGCAAAGGTAAAAAATCCATCGTGCGAGAACTTACAGTAATTCAGAATCTCCCTCCCTTGGCTATTATAATTCTTCGGCTCGGCCAAACTCTGACTCCTGACTCTACTCTCCGCACGCACGGAGCTCCCGGATCCGCCATTATACAAGCTTCCACTGCTACCGCCACCATAGTACGAACTCTGTGGTCGAGGCGCGGTACCTGCACGCCCACGGATGCTGCCGCCGTAAACGCTGCCGTCGCCGCGCTCGCTGCCTGCAGTGGAGAGTGCGAGTGACATGTTGTTGCTGCGAGAACTGGACGGACGTTCGTCGAACGATTGGCGGAAGGCTGGTTGTGGGCTTGGAGCGCGAGAGCTGGCTGCTGCGCGGGATTGTGGGCGGGAGGCGGATTGAGGCTGTGCAAAGGCAGGCTGGGGAGGTTGAGGAGATGGGGCGCGAACACTCGGGGAGGCGGCACGGCTGGGGGTATAGGTGTTGCGGCCCATAGGCGTACCGTATGCCTGAGCGGGGGCGGTAGTAGTCTGTGCTCGTGGTCGTGGTACAGTGTTTGACGCAGCCGCGTATGGATTGGGTGAGGCAGTTCTGGTGTAAGGAGAGGCCGCTGGAGGTGCTTGCTGCTGTTGATGTTGTGGCTGTTGCTGTTGCGGTTGCGGTTGCGGTTGCTGCTGCGATTGTTGTGGCTGAGACTGTTGCCGTGCGGCGGATGGCAGGGATTGTTGAGTAGCAACTGATGGCGGTTGTTGTCGAGCGACAGATGATGGCCGCTGTTGTTGAGCAGCTGATGGTGGCCGTTGTTGTTGAGCAGCGGAGGGTGGTCGTTGCTGTTGAGCAGCAGAGGGTGGCCGCTGTTGTTGAGCAGCAGAGGGTGGCCGCTGTTGTTGAGCGACTGAGGATGGTCGCTGTTGTTGGGCAACTGATGATGGGCGCTGTTGCTG